AAATTATTGTAAATTATTTGGATTGTAAAGGCAGTCGGCCGATCCCTGACCCTATAAACCACGCAGGATCGACTAGACTATACAGCCGATCCCTGACCCTATAAACCACGCAGGATCGACTAGACTATACAACCCATTACTGACCCTATAAGCCACGCAGGATTGACTAGACTATACAACCGATCCCTGACCCTAGCCACGCAGGATCGACTAGACTAAACAACTGATCCCTGACCCTGTAAGCCACGCAGGATCGACTAGACTATACAACCGATCCCTGGCCCTAGCCACGCAGTATCGACTAGACTATACAACCGATCCCTGACCTTTAAGCCACGCAGGATCGACTAAACTATACAACCGATCCCTGACCCTATAAGCCACGCAGGATCGACTAGACTAAACAACCGATCCCTGACCCTATAAGCTACGCAGGATCGACTAGACTAAACAACCGATCCCTGGCCCTAGCCACGCAGGATCGACTAAACTATACAACCGATCTCTGACCCTAGCCACGCAGGATCGACTAGACTAAACAACTGATCCCTGACCCTGTAAGCCACGCAGGATCGACTAGACTATACAACTGATCCCTGACCCTATAAGCCACGCAGGATCGACTAGACTATACAACCGATCACTGACCCTAGCCACGCAGGAACGACTAGACTATACAACCGATCCCTGACCCTATAAGCCACGCAGGATCGACTAGACTAAACAACTGATCCCTGACTCTAGCCACGCAGGATCGACTAGACTATACAACCGATCCCTGACTCTAGCCACGCAGGATCGACTAGAGTATACAACCGATCACTGACCCTAGCCACGCAGGATCGACTAGACTATACAACCGATCCCTGACCCTAGCCACGCAGGATCGACTAGACTATACAACCGATCACTGACCCTGTGCGCAACGCAGGATATCGTAAGTAGACTTAACAACCGATCCCATTGTGTTATAAGCCACGCAGGATCGACTAGACTATACAACCGATCACTGACCCTATAAACCACGCAGGATCGAGGAGACTATACAGTGACCGAAAAACCCGACCCAGTTGGTGAAGGGCGCTGCCAAAAATTATTGTAAATTATTTGGATTTTTAAGGCAGTCGGCACGATCCCTGACCCTAGCAACGCAGGATCGATTAGACTATACAACCGATCCCTGACCCTATAAGCCACGCAGGATCGACTAGACTATACAACCGATCCCTGACCCTATAAACCACGCAGGATCGACTAGACTATACAACCGATCCCTGACCCTATAAGCCACGCAGGATCGACTAGACTATACAACCGATCCCTGACCCTATAAGCCACGCAGGATCGACTAGACTATACAACCGATCCCTGACCCTAGCCACGCAGGATCGACTAGACTATACAACCGATCCCTGACCCTAGCCACGCAGGATCGACTAGACTATACAACCGATCCCTGACCCTATAAACCACGCAGGATCGACTAGACTATACAACCGATCCCTGACCCTATAAACCACGCAGGATCGACTAGACTATACAACCGATCCCTGACCCTATAAGCCACACAGGATCGATTAGACTATACAACCAATCCCTGACCCTATAAGCCACGCAGGATTGACTAGACTATACAACCGATCCCTGACCCTATAAACCACGCAGGATCGACTAGACTATACCATGATCCCTGACCCTAGCCACGCAGGATTGACTAGACTATACAACCGATCCCTGGCCCTATAAGCCACGCAGGATCGACTAGACTATACAACCGATCCCTGACCCTAGCCACGCAGGATCGACTAGACTATACAACCGATCCCTGACCCTAGCCACGCAGGATTGACTAGACTATTCACCCGATCCCTGACCCTATAAGCCACGCAGGATCGACTAGACTATACAACCGATCCCTGACCCTATAAGCCACGCAGGATCAGCTAGACTATACAACCGATCTCTGACCCTATAAGCCATGCAGGATCGACTAGACTATACAACCGATCCCTGACTCTAGCCACGCAGGATCGACTAGACTATACAACCGTTCCCTGACCCTAGCCACGCAGGATCGATAAGACTATACAACTGATCCCTGACCCTAGCCACGCAGGATCGACTAGACTATACAACCAATCCCTGACCCTAGCCACGCAGGATCGACTAGACTATACAACCGATCCCTGACTCTAGCCACGCAGGATCGACTAGACTATACAACCGATCCCTGACCCTAGCCACGCAGGATCGACTAGACTATACAACCGATCCCTGACTCTAGCCACGCAGGATCGACTAGACTATACAACAAAATATGAGCCTGACTCATGTTGGATGCGAAAAGTGTCCTTGACATATATATACTCCTCAGTTTTGGTCACGTGACAAATGATGCGTCTGTGAGATGATTGTCTGTGTCATCAGTGTCGGCATCCTTCACCATCTCCTAGAGGTTTTCACTTGAGCAAGATTCAGTGAGTTTGTGCGTGCTTGGGCATAGGACAGACTCTCACACACGGGTGCATTGGCGTGCTAGAATGTTCTTTCGGGATATTCTTTAATCGCCCATATCAGTCAGTGACATTTAAAACGTTCAGTCTTTGGCGCTGTAACCTGGGGGCTGAAAACTCTGAGCCCTCCGTCTTGTAAGAGGTTCAGAGGCCCCCTTTAGCCCATATGTAGACATTCTCCCTAAAAGTATTAGTTTATAATTGTCCTAGTTATATTATTTCCTATTTATTATTTTATTTATTTGTTATTCAGCACATTATTATTATTAATATTATTATTATTAACATCATCATTTTGTTTTTAAACAGAGATTAAGCCCCTCCTGGCACCCCTGCCCCCTTTTCACCCGCCTACAAATCTGTAATGCCGAAACCCCTTCCTCCTTTTTAGTGGGGTTGCTTTCCTTGCCTTCACCACAATCAACTTTAAAACAGATGTTTTTCGTCTGAAAATAGTAACAGCTTGACTATGATTATACTTTTAATGTACTTTAGATCTTTGACATTGCAAAATAAATATTACACATGTGTCTACGGTGCATGTACCCTAATATAAGCTTCCCAGGTGGTCTTGTTTATGGCGGATAGGCTTGTTCCTCATCAGATAGGCTTGTTCCTCATCGGATAGGCTTGTTCCTCATCTTTTCTTTGTTCATATTTTATTAATCCCCGATGCTGTCTAAATTTCGGTCTACAAACTATTTCAATAAGCTACACATTTTATATTTTGTATTCTTTAAAAAAAAACACGTATATTTTTTAAGGAAACACGCATTGTAACGTAGTGCAAGTTGTATAGTTCACTATGGGGTTGGATTTAACCTTTTCGTTTTTACTTTTTGTTGGCCATTCTGTCTTTATGTGATCCTTTTTCTAAAACTGACCCTGTTAACGTTCCACTGTTAGTGATTAATTCATTATGTTAGCAAGCCAGATTTTAGAGTCCAGCAGGCCATAAGTGGCTAGCAATGCAGGACCAGCCATACACAGGTAGTATATATATATATATATATATATATATATATATATATATATATATATATGTGTGTGTGTGTGTGTGTGTGTGTGTGTGTGTGTGCGTGTGGCTAATCTCACAGCCACATCTACCATGACATGTTCTGTAGATTGTATGCTGATCGGTTACTTTCACCTGCATCCCTACCACACAAAACATCCCTGTTTTTCTTGGCTCGTCTCCAGCCACCCCTAAATGACACCCAGTCCCCAAGGTCCGTTTTCCTATAGAATCAAGTACAATTCCTTGCTTATTTTCACGACTTAATTTGTTTTAAAAATGAAATGTACATAAATATTGGGTAATTTTATTTAAAATTAAAAAAAAAAAAAATCAACAACAAAAATATTCTTTAGGGGCAATTCCTTAGCTGGCTGACATAATTGTATTACGGAAAGAATTACCAGTGGATGTCATATAAATAATATAGACATTAATTTTTTCCGTTCAAGTAAACAGCTTGATAAACGTATGTTTTTGTTGCAGTTGTGTTCATTCATATTTCTCCTTTAATAATGTTAAAAACCATTCATTTACGAGTTCATAATTATTAAGGTCAGAGATGTGATGTATTCCACCAAGCAATTTAAACATCTGCTGCCACATCTTTTGTTTGGGCTTTTAACCTAATAACATCTTATTATCTGTAAGAGGGTACGCAGTGAGAAACTTATCATGGGCAAACTAGCAATGTAAAAGACTTTTTATATGTGAACAGCCGGTATTACATGAACAGTGTAGGAGATAATCAAATTATTCGAGGCCAGAATTTCAAGATGTATTTTCTTAGAATGCAGTAAGCCATACAACGAATTTATAAAGAACGGTTCAAGCAATCACGCCGCCACCAAGAAAGTAGGTATGGTGTGAGTTTTTTCCCTTTTATAATTTCCGGGGCGGGGGGGGGGGGGGAATCATGAGGATTAAGTATTATGATAGCAAACTATGACAATACTTATTTTACTGGTGTTGCAAACATCAAAGGCCTCCATTAATGTGTTGACGTATTGATTAACGTGCACACATTTTCAGTTTATTGGTCGTTTCTTTACATCGCCATCTGAATAGGGATTCAGATTTTTCTCTCCCTATTTCGCATTCAGTCTCTACTCGCCCTCTCTCTCCCATCCCCTCTCTACTCTCTCACTCGCCCTCTCTCTCCCATCCCCTCTCTACTCGCTCTCTCTCTCTCCCATCCCCTTTCTACTCTCACTCGCTCTCTCTCTCCCATCCCCTCTCTACTCGCTCGTTCTCTCTCTCCCATCCCCTCTCGCTCTCTCTCTCCCATCCCCTCTCTACTCTCTCACTCGCTCTCTCTCCCATCCCCTGTCTACTCTCTCACTCGATCTCTTTCTCCCATCCCTTCTCTACTCTCTCACTCGCTCGCTCTCTCTCTCTCTCTCTCTCTCTCTCTCTTTCCTAGATGTACTACGCATCGTTTAATACTCCAAGCCACAAACATCGACTATGGGATGTTACTTCCTCAGCAGCGATCAGTGCATCTATACAGAATATGTAGCCCTCTGTTGTGTTCTTTGAGAAGCGGCAGGACCAAAGCTAGGAGCAGGCGGGCTGATACACGGAACAAACATTGCAGTGCGCTCTGATAGAAAGGGCAAGCTCAGCCATTTATAAATTTTAAAAAAGAGCTGTAATGGTCTTAAGCAATGTTTTAGTGCGCAATAATAATAATAATGAGCAGAAGGACACACAAATATTATATTATATTAAACTGATTTGAAACGTGTAATCAAATAACCCCTACCTCTGTAAAACGTCTGGCAAATAAAGCTAACCATTGAGTTATTTGTACCATTTGATGCGATTCAGCCCAAACACCTGTTTTTCACATCCAGTGCGGGCATTTAATAGCGATAATATAAATTATAAGAGAATTTTTTTGTCGTTGTTGCTGGACACAACAAAACGCATTTGCCGTATAGGTAGCGTCTCTGGCTGAACATGCGATCGTCTAGGATCGTTCTTTTATGTGAAACTCTAGTTGGTTTTCCCAGCTTCTCTAGATGGGTCGTTTCGTGAATTCTGTCGATAGTTTTTAGGGAGAGGGCAAGACAGGGTAAGAGAGTGAGAAAAACACACAGAGAGAATACAGAGAGAAAGAAAGGTGAAAGAGAGGACGAGAAAGAGAGAGAGAGACAGAGAAAGAAAGAAAAAAGAGATATGGAGAGTGGGAAAGAGAAAAGATTAAATAGAAGGATAAAGGAATTTCTGTGGTCCAACTTTCTTCCACTTGTTCATCAACACTGACTGTGTTTGACTTCTAGAAATCATCAAAGACAGAACAAGCCTGGGGTATGTGCTCCCTTGTCTGGGGATCTCGTAAGCAAGTTCATTGGTCAGTTAAGACAGCTTTAAATTTTTTTTTTTTAAGAAGGACTTAAAAAGGCTACCTTGTCCTTTAATAAGTCTAACAACAGGGGCTTGGCTGCGACATCTTGTGCTAAATTACTACTGGTTCTCTGCTTCCATGTCGCTCCCTTTGCTTCTCACCTTTAAATTGCTTTGCATGATCGGACTTAAACATAAAAATTTCGTATTACCATTTTAAGAATTGCCCTCAACACTTGCCCACTTTATAAAGCGACACACGTCTTTAAAACTAAATATTTTACAAGATTACCTCCGCGCATCAAAGATTGTCAGTACGTTACAACATTGCGCGGAGGCTGACAGTTAGATTTTGGACTCTTTCAGTTTGCGAGTGCAGCTGTTGTGGAGATCCTTATTAGTTGTCGTTGGTAGTTCCCGCTTTGTAGGTCGTTCTCTGTGGGCGAACAGCTGTTCTGTGAAGAGATAGCCAACCAAATATAATCAGCTATGACGCGTTGCAGTCGAACATTTAGCCTTCAAGCACTCTAAGTAGAATGAAATCACCAACAGTGACTGCAGTATTAATCCTTAAGGTCTGTTTTTTGGGACGGCGCAAATGACTTAGGGTTGTGAACGCAGTGCTACAATCCTGACATGTCAGGGATCGATTGGGTAGCAGATCCCTTTGCTTTGACATTGACAACAGTATCATCTGATAGTCATGTCCGATGTGCAACAGTATCATATGATAGTCATATCCGATGTGCAACAGTATCATCCGATAGTCATGTCCGATGTGCAACAGTATCATCCGATAGTCATGCCCGATGTGCGATGAAGATATATCTAACATGAACTATGACTATGAACTATGAACAATATCATCGCTCTTCTGCTCAGAATTTAGTTGAGTTGAGTTAAGGTGAGTCAAAAATTGACACCACAGCACTAGGGGCTTTCCACGCGTGCTCCGCCCTCATCTTCAGCAGCCAGCTCAGAGTTCCAGTACTGATGGTACCGGTCACAATTTGGTTAAATGTCCCTCTTGCCTTTCCTCTCAGTGTAGTCAGCCGGCCAGACCCTCTGGTTACACCCAGGTGCCTTATTCTCTTCATAATAATTTTGTTTCTTTTTTAATTCGGTTGCTTATTCACAAAGGGCCTTGACTACATCTGTCATGTCATGTAACAATTCACCACCTAGTGGTGCAGATCCAGCCAATCTGTCTGCCTGATTATTACCTACTACACCTGCATAGCCTGGAGAAAAGATCCAAAGTATGCTCACTACCTGGCACCTTCACAGTGAAGCTTGCCATTCAGCTCGAAGCATCCCTGTCTTCACCTTTCTCATTATGCTTTCAGAGTCTGTCCTTCTGGTGAAAAGGCCATAACAAATAACTGAAAGTAAAATTGCACAAAACAGCACGAAACAGCACGAACTTGCGATAAGTGCTAGAGGTGGTTTACAAAGATGTGTAAACTGTGTGCAGCTAACTTTATCTTATCTAGTAACAGAGAATGAATCATGGACAATCGGTAGACAGGTCGAACAATTTCTTGAGGCCTTAGAGATGTGGTATTACATAAGAATGCTTAGAATACCTTGGACAGCCAAAAAGAGCAACCAAACGGTTTTGAAAGAGGCGGAAGCCCGAAGACAACTTATCACAGACATCAGAAGGAGACAGTCATCATTTTTTCGGTCACATGTTGTGACCACTGGAAAGATCTGTGGAAGGAGGGATAGAGGACGACAACGAGAGAAGATGCTTGAAAGTCTTGTTGCATGTCATGGAGGTGTGTTGGCACACGAACTGATACATGCGGCAGGAGATCGCAGATTGTGGAGAGGCATGATTGCCCACGCCAGTTGACAATGCACCTGATGATGATGATGATGATGATGATGATGAGTAACAGAGGTAAGTTAGTGTTCCAGTTATTCTGACTGAGAGCGCAGTACTGCAGTGGCTAGGCACTCGTCTATCAGTCTGAATGTCTTGGGATCGAATCCACACGAGAAAGACTTGTTAATATTGACCTTGGCCCCAAGTCGACCTAGCCTAAACTGTACCAGGAAGTATACAGGGAAGTAAAAGGCACTTGTGAGATGTTCATCATATCACCCATCTAGTATCGATCGCTCTGTCAAGAATCGCATGACCGATGCGCTACCGGTGTTAAAGGCCTTCTACTGTGTACATAATAAAATACTGTCTCATTCAGTTTACCTTCAAATCTAGGTTGCTGTTCAGCAGGTGCTTTAGAACTGAATGAAACGACACGATTATGTCACCGCTGGATGTGTCCTGTTTTTATTTTTTTTTTTTCAGACATCAACATGATCAATTATTCTTTACTTAGATTATTTGTGAGGGAGTTTACTTTGTTTTTGCGTGTGATTAAATTGTTCAATATTCGGAAATTTTAAAGCAAAGAGAAAAGAAGGAGAAGAGGAGAGATATGATAGAGAAAAATGAACGGGGGGGAAGGAGAAAAAACACAACGAAGGAAAGCAGGTGTATAAGGTCGGGGGGGGGGGGTTGTTGGAGGGAGACAAACACACGGAATTTAGGGAACCATTAAAGTAAAAGGAGAGTGACAGGGAAATAAGGATGATAATAGAGAGAATGTAGAAAAAAGAAAGCAGGTTAGGTATAGTGAATGAGAAAGAGGATATATAGTGATAGAGATGTGAGAAAGAGAATATAGAGTGTTTTAGATTTAAATAATATAATATATATGAATGGATGCAGATAAACAAGAAAATATATAGTGACAGAGAGATGAGCAAAAGAATATACATGAATGGAAGAAAATTAGAAAGAGAATACATCTGAAAGGAATAAAAGTAAATCAACTTGAGGCCCACTTGGTGTTATCAGGTCCTAGAGGCTCTACAACTCTAACATGGAAGAGGGGCCTGGCAGTTTTTTCTCGTTACACGTTTTCACATTAAATGAAACCTTCTGTTTGTTTGTTTGTGTGTTTGTTTGTTTGCCCGTATGTTTTAAGACACATGTTTAACTCCTTGTTCATTATCAGTTGTGATAGTATATTTTCCTTTGTGAATACTAACATTTAGCGTTCTGCCAATGAATAAAACTGACAGTATGCTAACTATCGCAGGGTGAGTTGTGCATACTGAATAAAACGCGAAACAAGTGTACCCTTTGTTGACTAGCCTCTACTATCTCAGTGTAAATATCTTTATGTGTGGCTGTCTCCTATTCCACTGATTTAGATAAAAAGGGGGGAGATAATATTTTAACGCAGGACGTGGTAAAGAGTTGTGGGGAATTTTGATGAGAAGAAGAAAAACGTATCTCTACAGTAAATATTTTCCTGCACTAGAATCTGCGAAGATTATTTACGGCGACAGAAGCTAAATAGATTAACATAGCAGAGACAAGACCGCAGTCTAGTGTGACCTAGGTATCGGTGGAACTGTTTCTGAGCAGTCTCCAGGCATATAGTTGTGTGAAGGATATCACACTGAAAGAAACTTTTGCGTCTCGAGTTTAAGAGAATGTAGATATCAATTCATTCATTCTGTTATTAACGTTTAAAGTTTTCCATTTCCACTGTATTTATTGTTCATTGGTAAGTGAGGGTGTTTTTTAATTTAAGTAAGCACAATTTATAATCAGTATTCCCGTGTTTGTTCCGGGGCCCTGTTGTTGGGAAAACAAGTATAGACCTACTGCCTACCACACAAGCATGTCGTAAGAGTCGACTAATTGGGAGCTTTCTTCAAAATCGAAGTTGCTTCTGCCCGAGAGGCAAGGAACTAGCAGTCTGCATATAAATGAGCCAGATCTGTAAAACGGATGTACACGCGACATTCAGGTTTTGAATTAGGTCTGCAGTCTAGAAGTGAATGAACAGCCAGAACTTTCCGCCAGAGTTAACAGCTGGTGAACGTGAAGAAGAAGAAGATAATTAGTGTGCTGTTTTATAAATAAGAGCCGATGCAGAGCAGTGTCTACCATGCTCGCATGCCAGTCCTGAGGTCGTTGGTTTTAATTTACTTGTAGACGCTTTCCCCGCATTTTATCTGGGTCATTTTCGTCGATACAGAGATATTTTTTAACACAAAAAAAAGGAGTTAGACTCTTAGGTCCTAATTCTAGTTTACAAGCATAATGATGATGGTGATGTTAATGTGTTGAATGGTAAATAAGTACATTTCAAATTAAACAAAATGTATAAATAAATAGCTTTAAAGAGAATGTCAAATATGGTTAGAGGGGCTTAATTTGTCACCTTACAAAATTAATTGGATGGGTGGCGGGGTGTCCTCAAGATGTCTGAGTTCCCAGTTCGGGCGCCCCTGACGCTGAAGTCTTTGATCAAACCAGCCTACAATAGGTACAATAGCTTCATCTGCCAGATTGGACACTGAATTACTCAATTCTTCTGGAAGTGCTTGTCCAAAGGAGAAGCGAGCACAGCAGGAACCTTCCGTCTGTAAGAATCTCCTAGTCGCCATCATTTCCTTAATCCGCCCATGTCCCATTTCAGCGCATGTTTTTTGTGTGATTCTCCGTTAGTCTCTTCTCATAATTTGATGTAGAAAATATTTTAGAGGGTTTGCGAGCTGTCTGTAGCGCCAGATATGGGAAAAACTGGTCTAGAAGCTTCCAATCCTCTACCTCGGGCGGTGACTCAGGGTTACAGTTCGGACTGTTGGCAGCCCCTTCCCTCATCCCGACAATATTACCGGCGCATCTATTGCACCCAGTACCTCCAATAGGCGGAAAGCTCTGGTTTCTTTGTCTTGATTAAGAACTTGATTTTTGTGTGCACATGCGTTTAACAGAGGCATGCATACTGGTAATCTGGTAATCTTAGTTTTAGCTTCATAGCTAACGGGTCACCCCATAGTTGCTCCGCTCCTGTGCCAACACGAAAAACTCACAGAATGTTTATCACAGTCCCTTGTGGAAAGATTGACAGACTGCTGTCTCAGCATATGCACTAGCATACACAGGCATTAAAAGCATAAGGTAGCCATCCGAAGTGCTACCACAAACAGTCCGACATTAGAAATGCAGTTTATCGTGGATGGTAGCAGAAGTCACCAACAGATCAGCAGTTGCACACGCGATCAATTTTAATCACATAATGGCATCACCAAAATGCGACATCAGGCATCGCGCCATTTTCTGAATCTAAAATTCACACCACCACGTTGGTCACAGTCGAAAAACTTTCCAAATGAAATCAGCAGCTCAAAGTGTCACGCCATGTACTTAGTTCAGAAGCTGGGCGACGAAACTATATCCTTTCAGTCTACACATGGAGCAAAATGCAACGGTCACCGTCTGGCAGAAGCAACAACAAAATTTCTGCGGCTCAAAACAGTGACAGTGCCTAGTGTCCATTTTGACCGGAAGTCCTCAGAGGTGTGCATACGTATATGTCTACTAAATCTTGAAAACAAAACACCCTTTAAATGTCAAAGAAGATAACAGTGAAATGTAATTTTTTTTTTAAATATTGAAAGAGATGTAACAGAAAAGAAATATCCAAAGGGATAGCGAAAGTTTATTCAAATTACTGTTGCATACCATAAAAGAAATACACATAAACCGGGCCGTCAGTGTGACTGTTAAATTAAACATTGTAGCTTTGATGCTAGTTGAAAGTTAAACCGTGTAGTGGTCACGGTTTGGGAGAAGTTGACAGCTGACTTAAAATGAACACACAAAATACACGAAGGCGTTTGTGCTTTGTAGACAGGAGTGACAGGGAAAAAAAAGAAAGCTGTTATCAACCCATCCTGGCTTTTGCCAGGGGCCCTGAATATAGCCAGGCCATGAATGTGGCCATAATGGCTTAAAGGGGTTTCTGGGACCTCTCCATGGGTGATCCTAATCCGCATGGTGGCACTTTGTGTCACTGGGTGCTTATCGCTTGTGTGATGTTCTGGTGGGGTTAAACAAGCAGCTGTTATCAATTAATTATATTGTTGTCCCCATGTGAAATGTAAAATTTTGTTATTAGAAGCCCCACCTTGGCTTCTGCCGGGGGCCCTGAATATAGCCGGGGCATAGATATGGCCTAACAGCTTAAAGGCGTTTCTGGGACCTCTCCACGGGTGATCCTCATGCGCATGGTGGCACTATGTGTCACCGGGTATTTATCGCTTGTGTGATGTCTTTGTGGGGTACAACAAGCAAGAAAGCAAGCAAGCTGTTATCAACATTCAAACCGCATATTAGAAGTCGTCCACCCGTGGGATGCACTTTTTTTGTTATTCTGAAGCTCCACCTGGCTTTAGTTGGGGGCCCTGAATATAACAGGGATATAAGTATGGCCTAGCCATAGATATGGCCTAACGGATGGAAGGGGTTTCTGGGACAATCTCCACGGGTGATCTTTATCCGCATGGTGGCACTTAGTGTCACCGGGTGTTTATTGCTTGTGTAATGTACTGATGGGGTACAACTATCTACCTACCTGTTATCAAAAAGTTATACTGTAAGTCAACAATTATGAGAATGTACATGGGGGAATCGGAACAGCTCCAAGGCAGTGTTGATGTAGTATCAGGGAAAATATTATTGAGTAACTAACAACGATTACCTTGAAAATGTTAGTAAAAGTCGGACATTTTACTTACCTGAACTAAACCAATGGGAAAGAGATTTTTGGTTTCTTTATTGTTGCATAATGAGAAGAGAAGCAGTTGACAACATCGTGCAACTGGAAAGAGCAGTATTAGAAGGGACGTACGCATAATGAGAGAAAAGATGATGTGACTTAAGAGTTATGAGTTAGATTATCTTCAAATAGCTCCGGACACATCTATAGATGCTCAGATTCCTCTCAACATATTCATCAGCATCGCGCGGTTAATAGTGCCAGTCCTATGCTGGTTGACAAGACTTCCTGTGCGTCCGGTGTGTTTCTCATGCTTGGCTGTGCCGATCTTTATCCCCAATTCTCGTATTCTTTGCAGCGATGTAGGCACATTGCTTTCAAAACCTACGGGACGTCCTATCTCTCGATTAGCATTGACAATGTCAGCTTGATTCATGGGCCGGCCATCTTTAATTATTGCAGCACCTGCCAGTCTATCAGCTCTTGCATCACCAACAACGTCTGCCTACCCTGGGACGAATATGACGGTAACTGCACACACAGGACAGTTTTGCAATGACTCAGACCACTGGGTAACCAGCCTGCCTCGACCCGCCGGATCATGCTCAAAGAGTCACTGAGCACACACACGCGGGAATAGTCCTGTGATTCCAGCCACATAAAAGCCTGTGTCACCGCCATCAACTCTATCGTCATGCAGCTGGTAGTCATGGAGAAGGCACCGCTGGCTTCTGGAACTGTTCTGCCTGAAGAGCGAGCTGTAAATGACCATGTACTCTTATGTCCTCGTATAATGGACCCACCTGTGAAGATCTAAACATACTGTATATGATGTGTTGGATGTGCATCACCAATAGAATCGATGTAGGCCACCAAGAATTGACATCTAGACTGTGGTGATACATGAACACCAGTTACGTGACGGTGATTAATTTGCGAAGTGTCCGTGTATACAATTATTGATGAATATTCTTTACTGTTGTTTACTGTATATGTTTATCTATAAAATGCATTTTGTTTCCCCAGAAAACATGAGTATCCATTCCAGTTACCTTGTTCTGTTACTATTATGCATACCCTGGACCAGCAGCAGGGTCTACCTATCCCCATTTTTCTTTCTGTGTAATTACCACGGAAACACTCAGGACTATGGACTTAATAAAGGAGAAGTTGTTATCAGTGTCCAGGTTGAAGGGAACCCACAAGCTTATATCCCAGGAAACTTCTATCAAAGTGAGTTTGAATTCTTTTTATAACGCCAGCAAGAATTTCTTACTGTGGGTGTCTGTCTTGTAAAAAAGGGTCGGCTTTCAGAGTACAGTGTCAATTGCCAGAGTTGCCATATTGGCGTTTTTGACGCCAAATTCCACAAATTTTGCGTTTTTGAAATTGTATTTTGGCGTATTTGGGTTTTTACTGAATTTTCTAAACAAGATGTGCTCACATTTTCTTCATGGTTACTTCGTGAAATACCCGCAGATTAACTAAAAGCAATGTAGACCTACAGTTAACATCTTTATTTCAGTTTGTCTTTATTGGGATGTCCTGGTACGGACTAACGGACATTCGCGCCATCTCTTATTGTATGATATGTTGTTGTCTCCTAAACGGATCATGACAGCAATAAACCAAGGCCCTCTTTAATTTATGTTAATTTACTAGAATAAATGTGAGATTATAAAACCAAACCCATCACAGATACCAAGCGATTCAAACTGTTCAGAAACTACGTATGGATAGAAAATATTCTATCTGTGATAGATTTGATTACTTACCAATGGCCACGTCATAAAAGTTAAACTTATGACAGCAATCGCAGATATAGGAACTGGGAGAAATCATACCCATGGCTCAAAGGATATTTAGACGGATCAGAGGCAGCATATTGATTATTGTAAACTGTGTCAGTGCACTGTGGCACCAAGAATTAGTTACATCAAATCATGAAAAAAAAAAAAAAAAAACGAAAATACACACCATGTAAATTCCACCAAAAAGCCAGTCACAGCTTTTTACAACAATGACTTCTAGGCAAGGTAATGATAACGTTTTTAGTTCTCTCCCAAAGCTCTACTTGGTGATTCTGTCATACCATTTAATTCCCTTTATTCTGCGTAGGCACCAGTTGATGAATATTTGTATCTTGTTAGTAGTTAGTAATTGTTTTATTTGTTCTCCATATTTCCGCTGCACACAGAAGTGTGATTTGTATATCAATTAAAAAAAAAAATTTAGTATAAGTTTTACTATCCTTATTTGTTATACAGATACCTCCATACTATGATGCCAACCTGTTTAATGTATCTTTTGGTTTTCCTCTGGCTCTTCACCCTTCCAATTTCTTCTTAGAATGTACTAGTTTTCCCCTTCTTAGATATTCTCAGGAAATATAGATTTCTTCTCAATTAAGTAACATAATATATATATTATATTGAAATTAAACACTACATAAACCAAATGAATAGTTTATTCTATAGAGTTTGTTAATGTACACTTAAAATAGTTCAAAACTCAGAAAACAGCTGTTTGGTTGTGAAGTGAGGGCAAGATCTGTTCCTTGCAGCCAGTTATCCAGTACATAAAATAAAAGATTAGGTTTAGAGAATTAGGGTTTAACCAGCGGACCAAATGAAAGAATAGGGAGCTATCATGCTTGACTGGTTGCCCAGTAGTTATATTTTTAATTGACTATTGAGGCAAAATGTAACAGGGTTTTCAAGTTGACTCAGCTTGGTAATACTGTACCAGGAAATAACCAGGAAAGTCAATGCAGCTGGCATGATAATGAGGCACCCCCCCCCCCCCCACCCACACACCCCCACCCACAAAGTTACTGTTGGTCTTTACAACTAATGGGTAAATAATATATGCCCAGCACACTTGCGGCTTAAAAATGGATCAGATGTGTTTATGTGTGTTGAGACAAGAGCAGCATTGGCTGGCAAACTAATCTTGTCTTTTTACAGATTGAACCATGAATTTTTCAGCCAACATCTAACCGGGATCAGTTTAGGAAATCCTGTCTGAATGTGATAGTTTTGTTCAAGTGTGACCTTGTAGGAAGTTGTAAAGCACTACGACTGGTACAGCAAACCATGATACATGAAAGTGCAGGTCAACTGAATTCTTTGAGCCAGTTAGCAACTGAAAGTGGCCTACTTTAGTGCTTGTAGAAAATAAAGAGATCTTATGAACCGACTAGAATGAAAGAAGAAGAATCATGACCTGTCTTGGCAAGCAGTGTTATTAACCATCCGGTCAACACATCCATAATGTATATACACACACATAAACATAAGAAAGCATAGTGATGAATATGCATGGAATAATTTGCGGCGTCCATGGTTAGGGCGTTGCGAGTCCAACTTGTAATTCCCACGTACCGCGATCAAAACCCACTGCTGGCTTCGTGGAATTTTATCATAGTACGGGGCTTCCCGGGCCTACCCAGCCTAAAATGGGTACCAGGATGTATGTCCTGGGGAAGTAAAGACGGTCCTGTAATGCTGACCACATTACCCATCTAATGCCGATTGGTCTGTAAAAATATGGGTCCTCTTCCCAAATGCCTGATGCGCCTAAGGCGTGAAAAGGGATCTTTACTTTACTTTATTGAAACAATTTCATGGTTAGTTAAGTAACTGCTGACATTTGATATTGCAGTCAGCATCTCATCCAGTGAGCACTTTGACAGCTTCCTGATGACAGGTCTGTACACAACAACAGCCAACACACAGTCATCACTCACTGGTCAGTTTGGGATCCCTGTCACTACAGGCGGCCAGAATTTGATGTGTTCTATAGTCCACTCCCAGGTCAGCCCCCATCCAATGAAGACATTGACATTTGTATGGAGTGCCCCTCCAAGTGGCACTGGCTGTGTCAACTTCCTGTAAGTGATTTAAACAAAATAAAAATTTTACAAATGATATTGTTTTTCAGACATTATCACGTGTCAACTACAAGCTGTGGCCCCACTGATTGCATGTCTAGTGCTAGTCAGTTCCATGTGATTCAGCTATCCAATCAGCTAGTGCTAGTCAGTTCCATGTGATTCAGCTATCCAATTAGTTAGTGCTAGTCAGTTATTAAGTAGTTCAACTGTCCAGGGCTCAGAGGAACTCTAATGATCCATTTGTCCATGTGGTCAGTGCTAGTCATCACTCTGATGATCTGTTTGTCCTTGTGGTCAGTGCTAGTCAGCACTCTAATGATCCATTTGTCCATGTAGTCAGTGCTAGTTAGCACTCTAATGATCCATTTGTCCATGTGGTCAGTGCTAGTTAGCACTCTAATGATCCATTTGTCCATGTGGTCAGTGCTAGTTAGCACTCTAATGATCAATTTGACCATGTGGTCAGTGCTAGTTAGCACTCTAATGATCCATTTGTCCATGTGGTCAGTGCTAGTTAGCACTGTAATGATCCATTTGTCCATGTGGTCAGTGCTAGTCAGCACTCTAATGATCCATTTGATCATGTGGTCAGTGCTAGTCAGCACTCTAATGATCCATTTGTCTATGTTGTCAGTGCTAGTCATTCATCAAGCAGGTCAGTGGTCAGTCTTAGCCAGCACTCAAGTGGTTCAAATCAGAGCAGTTCTAACAGAATTATGGCATTTTGACATACACAGATTAGCATGAGGTCCCAGCCAGCCCTTGAGTTGGGACAAAACTGGTTCAACTATCCAGGTGATTAGTGCTTGCCAGAATTGAAGCTGTTTAGTTCCCATCAGATTTATCAGTCCTAAATCAGCCATTTAAAAAAAAAAATATTAATGACACTTTTATTAAAAATTGTTTACTATTTTAATTTAGTATGTCTTTGGCATATAATCTTTGTAATATATTTGCTGATGTAAACTGTGATATGTATGTGATATATATATATATATATATATATATATATATATATATATATATATATATATATATATATATATATATATATATATATATATATATATATATATATATAATATACATACAAACACATACGTATTGCCAACATTTGCTGGAGAACCATAATGTCTGTATGGTGTTAGTAAACTTTTGTAATTACTTTCTTTAGAAGTCCATGCAATTTTGTGTCCTAACATCAAACACAATCAGCCTTTTGTTTGACAATTGGAAACCTATTGATCGGTCACATTTAGACAAGGCAGACTACATCCATAATAATAGATGACAATAATTAAACAGGAGAGCAGTTATTGTGAACAACATCTTTTTTGTTGTCTTTTACGAGTTCTGTTTATCATGGGGTTTACTTAAGATATTGACAGGATTTAGATTAAATAATAACCCATGTATGTAGAGTGCACAAATTACATCTATTTATTTATGTATTACAATAAAACGAAATTAGTTGTAGACAAAAAAGTAACTGATTAAAGGATAAAAATACCATCTAAGAGTAAAAATATTTTAAAATTCAGATCACATTCGTAAATTGCGTAGACAGCAACTGATTAACAGTTTGTTTTTTATATAATCTAGCACTGGAAACTTAATATGTGGCATTATATATAAGCAAATTTTAATATGTCTGCTGCAAGAGATTATGATATAAGAGAACCCAACCAATGAACTATGTTTAGAGCTAATTCGATATATTTTCAAGCTACTGAATTTTAACTTGTGAGAGATTATTCAAGAAGACAAATATATAGTTTTGTTGCAATAGTAGCTTCATAAAATTATATTCAGTTTCCAGCAAACTTGAAGATACACATGTGTTGTATAGCAAGTTTAGATTACTCAAAGTTTATTATGTGGTTCTGTCTCCTAGAAGTAGTAACATTTTCTGTGTTTTCAGAAGTTTACATTTTATGTGTGACATTCTTTCAGTGCCACAGCTACTCATGGGCAACAACTACTGTTCAAGGACACGACTGTCTTACAGTTATGTGAACAAGGAGGTAACAGCTGTGTTTTGTTTTCATGTTTTGTTTTCACACTTTTTGGGTTTTTTTGGGGGGGGGGGGGGGGGGGGAGGGGGTACATATTTTCAGTATGCTTACATCTGAATTGCAAATGTAATTTGCTAATATTTATATATTATTCTACTCTTCACCTTGAAGTGAATAAGTCGTTAGGCTCATGTTGTAAATGTGTTGACTCCATCCTTAAGCTCATGTTCTAAATTTGTTGACTCCATCATTAGGCTCATGTTCTAAATTTGTTGACTCCATCGTTACGCGCATGTGAAGCTACAGAGTTTGTATTTAGCAGGTGACCTCTGGCTCTGCCAAGGAAGGTGGAGCCATATGGGATGGAACACACTAACCTGTGCATTGAAGCTGATTGTCTTGCTTGTTAATCATTTTTATTATTCTGCTTTTTTGATATCTTCTTGTATTTTCCGTGGTCTTCATCATCATCAATTTCCACTTCTGCCATTAAGCCTTGTGGGGAGGAACAGTTTGTGATCCATTGCTTGATTGGCAGCAATGCCTATTGTCACTCCATGTCGATGTAGAAGCTGTTTAATGTCATCATTCCATCTTCTTCTAGGGCGGCCTTTTGCTGTCACTTTTGGATCTTTTCATGTGTAGCACCTGCGTTGGTAGTTGTTCTGGTTAAATGACCAAACCATATAATCTTCTTCTTCTTCATGGTCACTGGTTGTAAAATCTGTCAGAATGTTTGGCTGTTCATCCACTTCTTTGCTTTAGTCTTGTTCCAGTACTTGAATTGTGCATGCACATCCATTTTACCGATCTGGCTTATTTGTATGCATGCTGTTGGTTCCTTGCCTCTCTGGCAGATGCACTCTGACTTTAAAGGAAGCATCCAATTTTTAGGATACTTTTGTTAGGGGAGCATAGTCTGTTCTCTTTCCCCCACAGTGGGGCCATGGAACTTACAGGAGGACTCTCTGATATGGCATATTCTGGTAATAAAAATATATTTTGGTGATGAATAATACATGAAAAGTAGTATTCAGCAACTGTCAAGTGTTGTTAAATTAAAGTTGAATCTTTTCCTGTTGTCCTTACAGCCATCAGTGCATTACCTAGGCCACTCCTGGCTGAAGTCAATTCTGACTCTGTACTAATGAGAGATGATTTTGAGACCAGTGATTTTAATCCTCAGATATGGTATGTTGTTTGTTTGACAGCAATAGTTTATAGATGGTAAGTTGTTTGTTTGACAGCAATAGTTTATAGATGGTATGTTGTTTGTTTGACAGCAATAGTTTATAGATGGTAAGTTGTTTGTTTGACAGCAATAGTTTATAGATGGTAAGTTGTTTGTTTGACAGCAATAGTTTATAGATGGTATGTTGTTTGTTTGACAGCAATAGTTTATAGATGGTAAGTTGTTTGTTTGACAGCAATAGTTTATAGATGGTAAGTTGTTTGACAGCAATAGTTTATAGATGGTAAGTTGTTTGACAGCAATAGTTTATAGATGGTAAGTTGTTTGACAGCAATAGTTTATAGATGGTATGTTGTTTGTTTGACAGCAATAGTTTATAGATGGTATGTTGGGAGGTGTTCTTGTTTAATAAACAACAACAATATTAATTAGTTTCAAGACAAATAAAGAAATCAGACCAGAATTGACATTATTGCACTCAGGACATTTGCACACTTGTTTTGTTTCCTTCCTGAGCAGCCATTGGAGAGTTTCCAAGCTGATGGTGTCAGCTGATTAAAGTTTGCAGGTTTGTTTCCTGCATATTGCAGATCTTTCAGGACCCTTTGCTCACTCCCAGCTGCACCTGTCTTTTCAGAAATGGATACTCTGTTGCAAAAACTTTCTTAGATTAACATTTGAAAGTTGATGAGAACAGAAGTTAGCAATGGATTAGACTTGCTTCAAGAAAATAACCAAACTACATAGGATTTAGAAACACACCTGCAAAGAAAATAAATTTATGCAGGCTAAAATGATATGCCGAAGCAATATAAACAGTTTTACCAAGTGTAATTTTAACAGAAGAAAAGAGGATAAGCTTATAATGATGTATTATTTTTATGTGATCCAACAAAACAGAAACAACTCAAGGAATAATGTACCAAATAAAGTGATCTGGCATAGTTATATTTATAAGAACATTAAGCACAAAATAACTAGAAACAAGAATAAACAAACAAGAATATTACAGATTCAAAATGTAATAGAATTTCACAAATAAAAACATCAGACACTCTTAAGGCAAAATATAACTAATCAGCGCAAAGAAATATGTCATACAAAGCATATTTATTCCTACTCTATGCTACCGGTCCCAGACATGGTCACTTATCAAACCACACAGGTGAATTAATCTTTTTCGTCCTTTGTTGCCTCATTGATACCAGATTGTAGCCCAGAGTTGTGGTTTTGTTGTCTCACTGATACCAGATTGTAGCCCAGTGTTGTGGTTTTCTGTATTTGTCTTGCTCTTCTCAGGTGGCTTGAGTGATGAATTTGTTAATCTTTTTTTTTGCAGGTTACAGCTGCACCATTTATTAATCTCTTTCTCGGTCTTCCTCTCTCCTTTCTCTTAGATGTTCTGCTGTTAAAAGTCACATATGCAGTTTGGTCTGGCTGCATTCTCACTAGATTGCCGAACCATTTTATTTCTTGTCTTTCAATATAATCCAATCATGTCTTATTCCAACTTTCTCTCTAAAGCTGGTATTCATAACCCTGCCTCATCTAGTGTTGTTAGTGACGCTGCAGAGACCGCATATTTCACATGTAGTTATTTTCTGTTCTATTGCCCTATTCATTGTCCATGTTTGGCACTGATAACATAAAAGTAAGGATAAAGATGCTATTAGTCATTTGCTGTTTTGCAGTAAGGAAGACTTGTGGGTGTCTAAGCAGTGGGGCTAACTGGTAGGTGACAGCATTTGCCTTCTGTACTCTGGCTTCTCTCTCTCTATCGAGTGTACCATCCTCCGTAAATTGCTTCCTAGATATTTCAATTCTCGTACTAGCTTGATTATAGCATCATTAACATGAACATTCATGATATTATGTTTCCTGCCTATCCCCATTACCTCAGTTTTCACAGTGTTTATTTTCATGTCATACTTTGAGCAGGCTTGATGTAGGGAGTGAGAATGGTGTTGTAAATTCTGTTCTTGGTGGTGTATTAGACATTAATCATCTGCATAAAGAAGTTCATTGATTTCTTCAGTATCTGTATTTGCCTCCTGTGTTATAATATCCATGTAAGTAATGAACAGCAATGGTGAGAGGACACATCCCTGTCTGACAGCTGATGAGCTGGGAAACCAGTCTGTCATTCCTTCTGTTATTCTTACTGTGCACTGACTATCTTGGTAATGAAGAGGTGATCTTGAATACTATCATCTTCAAGAATTTGTCATAGACATTTATTGATTCGATCGAACGCCTTTTCTTGATCTATAAATATAAGATGTTGACTTCTATCATATTCACTAGACCTCTCGCATATCTGCCTTAAAGAAAATACTGCATCTGTACGGTTCTTTCCTTTCTTGAAACCAAAATGTCTCTTACTTAACTGGAGCTCTAATACTGGTCGAGCTCTAAGTATCTTTCCAGCAAGGCTCAGGATTAAGATGCCCCTGTAGTTTTCATCTCTTTGGTCCCCTTTTTTTTCCTGAATGGGAACACTGGTTGCTCTCTGCGAGTCACTTGGAACTTTCCGTACCTCCCAAGCTATATTAAAGATTCTGGTCAACCAAGCTGTTGCTGTTGTCTGACAAGCAAGGAGAATTTCTATTGTAATACCATCTACCATCTTTTCCTGAAGATGAATTATTGACTATAGAAATGGGAAGAGTTGCAGAAGTGACCAGAAGAGAGACAATCAGAAATGAGGTCATCAGAGGAAAAGTTGGTACATATCCAGTTCTAAATTACACCAAAAAAAACATATTTGGTGAGTGGCGCGGTGATTTATGTCACAGGTGTGAGGGGAAGTTAAGTCCAACATGATGTGTATAAGGAGATACTCCGTACGTCACTCGGGCGCCAGTCCTTAACTATCCTGGTTGTACGGAACCTCACGCAAGACCCCTACAGCACGTCCTCGTCGTGTGCCACGGATAATGTCTCAAATGAGCATTAACAGAGCTGTCAGGGGATCTCGGAGCTCGGCGGCCCCCAGAGGTGATGTGTCCTTGTGGCTCTCATCAGCCCGCCCCCAAACGCTTGGGTGAAAAATGTTATCAAAACTCGGAACATGAGTAGGTTTGCCAAACGTACAGCCAAAATTACAACCCTCGGTTAAAAGACTGCGGAGTAAAGAGAACATTGTTCACTGCTCATCCTCTGTCAACCCTCAGTGTCGTCGTCACCGCGCTGAGGTACACCACAACAGCAACCATCCATAGGCTGGCCATCCTTGTACATCCTCGGTTAACCCCCAGTGTCGTCGTCACCGCGCTGAGGTACACCACAACAGCAACCATCCATAGGCTGGCCATTCATGTACATCCTCGGTTAACCCTCAGTGTCGTCGACACCGCGCTGAGGTACACCACAACAGCAACCATCCTAATTGTCCGACAAAACTGGATCATACGGATCAAAATCTGACCATCAAAATTTGTATTGAACTGAAAAAGACCGAATGCCCACACCCAAAGACCCCACTCGCCCGAGTGTTGGGACAAAACTGATAACGATATGCCTGATGCAGGATGTAAAATTCTGTCGGGCTAACGGCTCGTCAAAGAAATCTAACGTGCGAAGAAAAAAGGATGTACCTATCTGTGTGGTCACAAAAGTCCAAAACCCACGGGCTGCTCCCCGCTGACTTCCAGAGGGCGCAGCCCGTGTCGAGCGGGAGGCCTGATACGGTTGTGAGGTTAAGCAGTCATGTGCAGGACGTGACGATTCCTTGGGTGAGCCCAGAACCAGAGCGCCATGTGCCGGCTCTGCATGCATGGAAGCCTCCTTGGATGGCGGGGAATGCCCATGATCTGCCCCTGCCTTCCCTTGAGGGCTAACTGTTCCACAGGGGGCTGCCCCAAAGGGGTACTCCGAGGGCAATACCTGCGGAGGAGACAAAGTGGACACCACACAAATCAGGCAACGTCTCGACCCACACAAAACAATGGCCACAGTCAACCTAGAAATAGGCCTGACGTCTTCCTTCGAAGTCGGAGTACAGCTGCCCATGAGGCAGGGAAATGAAAAACGGTTGTACACGCAAAAATCAGGTCCAGGTGAACGCCAAAAGTCCAAGCGGACGATTAACCGGGACCTTCCACTGGAATTCACAGCCGGTGATCGATAAAAAAATAAAAAAAATAAAAAATATTTGGTGAAACATATTCACTAACCTATAATCCGTAGAGCTGCTTGTTTCCTACACAGAGACAAACCCAGTATGGCCCATGAAAAACTAAGGAGGTATTTTTGCCAAAGTATAACCAGTACTGATGTTTGTATCTAATGCAGATTTGACATCTGAGCAAGACAAAATGAAGACACAGAATGCAGTCTGGGCAGCAAATTTGGCTATGGATCAAAACAATATTAGTTCTCTTCTGTGCTATAATGGTAAAATTTGACCACAATAGACTTGAAGATCAATATGGAGACAGATAATGGACATATGATGTTTATTCTCTCTTTAGTATGAGAATAATCTGTGTAATATTAACCCGTCTGTTTACAGGCAAACAGTTGATGGTGGACATATAGGAGACGAATGTGGAACTGTTGTCTACGGACAGTCTGCTGTACTTTGTGATTCTGCAGGTGCCATTAGAGATTTAGTAAGCAAACAATTCTGCTTTCCTATTGTCCTGTATATTTTCAGCATAAAAAGGCGACATTTGTTGTAACTTCATTATTTCTTTATAACTGATCTGCTTCTTGCTACTTATCTGTCTATCTGATGTTAAGAATTATTTTTTTTCATAATGCTCCATCCTTTGCTTGTCAACTGTTGTGTTGCAACCTTTCCATTATGTACTTTGAGTATTTTCACCTCTCTCTGTCTCTGTCTCTCTCTCTCTCTTTCTCTCTCTCTCTGTCTTTGTCTATTGCTCTTGCAGTATATCAAGAATGACATCCAGCTGATAATTATAAACTACTCCTCATAAATTTGATGCAGATTAAAGCTGCTCTTGTTAACATGTTTATCTATAGTACGGAAGGTCACTCTTGTTTGCACTCTTAGACAAACATAAAACTCAGCTAGCTGTTGAATTATTAATTAAATCCTGAAACAAGGTCAAAGAATACTTCAGTAGTATTGTTTAGTAAAACAAGGATCTGGGCATCAGTAAAATTGAGCAGAATATCATGCGGCAGACTTGAAGGACATGAAAGATTAGCTGGTTAGCATGCAGTTTTATTTGACCTCATCTGTGAAGTATTCTTCATGTTCCCTTTTCTTCTGTTTCTCTGTTCACCGGCTGTAAGCTCTGGTGGAAAGGCCTGATTGTTCGTTCATTTGGACTTTGGCTTTGTACCAGGGCCACAAGGGGCCCCAGAAAACATAGGGCTACCTCATGTTTCTATAATACTATCCTGTGTATAGGAGCTTCTATTGCACAATGATTAGCATGCTTGCCTCCTGACTCAATAGTCATAGGTTTGATTCCATCAGGATGGATATTTTCAAGTTAACCTGTACTTCCAGTCTCAGGAAAGGCATCTAGTGTGATTCGACCAAGTCACCCACTGAATATTAACCTAACTATAAAAGGTGTTATGGACAAAACACACCTTAATGGTGTGGAACAAAACTTTTCTTACTTTTACTTACACACAAGTCAGTGCAACAATGCAGAAATAACATTCAAAAATGGCAGTCGGAAGATGTCTTAGAATGGGTGAAGGTTTTCATCATAGGTGTACGTGTACATATGCAAGCAACATTAAAAGAAATTTAAACCTCTACTAAAATCCAAATTAGATCAAATAAACTTGAAGACTATATGTTATTTTGTGGCTTGTGAATCCTCTGGAAGATTGTCCTCTCAAATTTGATGCATTGGGACACATGAGCCCTGAAAAGAGATGCACTTATTGGAAACAGTTTAGTTTATATAAATTGTTATCCCTACCCAGTATTACAGGCAGAAGTATTACATATTTTTTTTTCTGCTGGTTTCTCTTTGGCCTACTTATTTTATTAATTCTATTATGAACATTAACTGCTCAGCGTAAACATTGAAAGTAAGTCCAGAAGCATGTTAACATTAGTAAATGCTTGATGATAACTTTTGTGTGTTTCTTACAGGTCACAGTTCCTTTAAATCTGACATCAGCTCATGTCCTACAGTTTACTTTAGGTAAGTTCACGCCTTCATTGTTGCAGCAGAAACTGTCAGATACACACAGATATTTCCAAATAAAAGTAGACTAAAAAGAGCATAGAAATATGCAACAGACCTACACATGAAGATAGTGCTTCACTGAAGGAACAAATACAAACATAGCCAATCAGACACATCTATAAAAGTGTCTTCTTTAGCCTTTAGTTTAGCTTCTCTCTAATCTCAGCCTGGAATGTTAACAAAATTAGTATCTAGCCACTGAAGAAGCATCATGTGTTTCAAAAATATTTTAAGGATATTTACTAAGGATTGCACAAATAACAAACACATCATCTACTGTCTTTACCCATTTTAATTTCTGCCTACCTGGCACTCTAGATCAGATTTAAATATATCGCAACCTCAGTGGAAGTTCAAACACAGGGCTGGAGGCAAGAATGCTAGTAACTGAAGTACCTTACTTTAGATAGTTGACTGAAAATGATTATTGATGAAGAAGATGTATGAAGACCTGGTGAGACATTGTTTGTTGTTTTGATTACTGATCATTTACTTTGGTAGATAATTGTGCTGTCTTCAGACACCAAATACTTTGTAGCTGTTGTTGTTTGTAGTTTGTAAAAGCAGGTACATCACAACATTTTGAAGTAAATTCAGGAGTAAAACAGGCATGTGTGATATCTTCCCTGCTTTTTATAACATACATCGACAATAGACAGGGCACCACAGATGACATTGTTATGCAGATACAGTGGTAACAGAATCAGAGGTCAACCACACAGAATATGGACCACAGAAATATCAGAGACACTAAAGAGTACTATATATGAAGCGAACAGAAGGGCTCCTTCTAGAGATTCCTCCTCCCCTGATGCCATGAGGCATTCCAGGAGTAGAGAAAAGAAGAAGAGAAGATCGACAATATATGCAGAGAAGCAAAGAGCCAAGAAAAGAATGATATCTGAGAATTGTTGTTTGCAGATGACCAAGTATTAATAGCTGAAACAGAAGAGAGTTTATAGAACCATGTAGAGCAAATCAGTACTAAGTGTGAGAAATATAAAGATAAGCATTGATAAGACAGAGGCAATGGTAATAGGCAGGCAGAACGAAACCATATAAATTAAAGTAAATAATACAGAAATAAAACAGACGAGTGAATTTAAATATCTAGTGTTTTTTTGGTTTTTTTTAAATCTCAGATGGAAGAATGGATAGAGAAATCAACATATGATATGCAAAAACAAATCAGGTTATTGGACAATTAACACAGCTTCCGATGCATGGAAAGATACCTCTGGCAACCAAAGCAAATCTCATAAGAACGTATTTTTTTGGCTGACATTGTGCTACCATTGCCAAACAAGGACCCTTACTACAGCTAAAGAGTGGAGATCGTAGCAACAGAGATGAGATGTCTTAGGAGAGCTGTCCGTGAGACAAGAAGAGATACAACCAGGAATGAAGAAATAAGAAGAAGACTAGGACAGAAACCAGGCATACAGTTATTTAAAGAACAACAAATCAGAGGGTTTGGCCACCTGACGAGAATGGCCTGGTACCAATTGCCACAGAAAGCCATGCTGAAGAAATATAATGAACACCGATCATAGAGAAGACCAGGCAAGAGATGGAATTACATCGTCAAGCGCAACTTAACAGAAATGAACACAAGCTTGGAAAAAGCTCATTAACAATGCTGCCCCCCCTCCCCAACCACCTCGCTGAGGTAAATGTGGAAGAGAAGAAGAAGAAGTGTAGTGTTATTTTATCTTGATAAATTTATTTATTGTCTTTTTGGAGCTTTGTCGAGCAGGCTCGTAATAATAGCACTCCCGAGAAAATAAGATAATTGATAACATATGACTACCATATGATCACAGTGGTCAAAATGTAGGTCACATCAAACAAGGGACATTTGTTAGATTTCAAATGTGTGGTACAAAATGTATTTATATTCTTGTTACTCTCTAGGTGGTGGTGGATGCCGTACACATTTACAGCCTGACCCAGATATTATCATAGCCTATGGTATCGATGACTGCAGTAAATGGGTGGAGATTGAACAAATTAAGTAAATTTTCTTTCAGTATTTTATTTGATAAACAAATATTTGAAACAGTTACAGAAACATGCTCCTAGTATTTGATTATTAACAATGAGAATTTATCCCTACATGGGATGCAATTTTTAGTTATTTAGAAGCCTGACCCTGGCTTTTGCCGGGGGGCCCTAAATATAGCTGGGCCTTAAATATGGCCTAATGACTGAACAGGGTTTCTGGGACCTCTCCACAACTAATCTTCATCTGCATTGTGGCATTTTGTGTCACTGGGTGCTTATCGCTTGTGTGATGTCCTGGTGGGGTACAACTTAACCTACCTACCTCAACACTTTATTGAAGCCCCCACCTTGGTCATTGCTAGGGGCCCTAATATAACCTGAAGTTGTAACAGGGTTTCTGTGACCTCTCCACAGGTGATCCTCATCCAAATGGAGGCCTTTTATGTCACCGGGTGTTTGTCACTTAGTGTGATGTCCTAGTAGGGTAAACAGTCAATCAGTCAGCTAGCACTAGAATCACTTTCTTAAAACATTAATTTTGACTTGTTGAAAGTGCTGGCAGTTTGTTCGATTCCAGCAATTGCTTTTTTGAGTAAACATTAATGCAGATAGGAAAATATTTCACTTTGCTCTGTGTACATTTAAAATTAAAATTGAAAAAGTGTTGAAAGGGGGCAAAGCCAAAACATTTTGTCGGTGATTACAACATTAGGGATAAAAACAAAGTTGAGGCACTCATGGCAGTGCAGGAGGAAATGACACCTGATGAGTTTGTTACTGAAGAAAGAAATATTATCATCTCAACAGCTCAAAACATGATCCCTTAAAAAAAAAATCTGACACAGGAAGTAGATTTACGTTATAGAAAAAAGAATTCAAGCTGATAGAAGAAAGAAAAAATATAAAACAAACAGGGACAGAAACAAATAGCTGTGTGTATAGGAATTACACGATAGAAATCATACGAGCTATCAGAGAAGATATGAAACAGTTTATAATGAAGAATACCTGTGGATAAGGAAAGGACAGAGAAGATATGAAACAGTTTATAATGAACACCTGTGATAGAATAGAACAACTCTGGATGCAAGGAAAGGACAGAGAAGATATGAAACAGTTTATAATGAACACCTGTGATAGAATAGAACAACTCTGGATGCAAGGAAAGGACAGGGACATGTTTAAAGAAATTAAAATATAATTAAAGGCAAATTCAGGCCATCATTTCATATAATAAATAATTAAAACGGTAACACATTAACAGAAACCAAAGACATTAGAAATAAGGAAAGAATACTGTAAAGAAGTATAGGAGGATCCAAGAAGTAATTCAGAAACAACTTGTGAAAGTGACGATAAAAAAACAGAGCCCTTACTGGATGAGGTACGATAAACAATACAGTCTGAAGAAAGAAAAGTTACCCGGTTGCAATGAAATACCAGCCAAACTAATTCAGGCAGAAGGAGAAGCCAGCATCCGATTCTACCATGCA